TTTTTTCAGTCAACTTGGCAGAACTGACCATTTTGTCTTTCATGGTCACACTTTTTGAGGTGAGGTATCAAAACAAACTGCTGTAAGAAAATAGGAATTTGARTATTTATATCTTTAAAGTGGTGAGAATTTCTGATGCCTTTTATACAGTGGTTGTAAGAAATCGCTTTTGATTTGCCTTTTTAATGTAACTTCGCTAGAGGGCACTGCTGTGCAAGAAATGTTTGTCAATATTAATTCCTACAATTCTTGCCCAAGATGAGATACACACTTTATAAAAACCTCTGTGATAACCTCTTTAAGGCTACTTGCACGATATATAGACCTCTAATAATAAATTGAATAGGAAGTCGTTCTGGTAAGCTACACAAGTACTTTTTGATAATTTATTGAAATCATAAGTTTATTTCTTAAGTATYTTTAACCAGAAAAAGTTGTTAGGCTATCTTCATTTATAGTTATGATTGTGTACCAAGCTGATGAGAAAAAAATTACTCATACTGTTTGATCTCTAACAAGGAGAGAKTGTCCTGTTTGGGCCACATGTTAGTCATTTGACCATATCTTATTAGCTGAAGATAGCAGATATGGAAAATGAAAGATAATCACCTTCCAGTTAAAATGTAATGCCCAATGGCTTCAGGCTTTTTGTGGTGGGTGTTCCTAATTAACTAATTTAACTCTATTTTGAAGTAATTTACTCCGTTTAATTTTAATGTGGTTTTGCTGGCCTCCTCATAACTGATCTATGTGCTTATGGCTGATATGGTTCATGATTAGGTGTTCCCACCTTAATGCTCCACTGTAGGTGAAACTCTTTTATAGCTTATGCGATTTAGAAAGCTGAYACTAGAAGTTATGGTTTCCGGTGGAAAATCTGTCTGGATTTTTTTAATACTAAAGGCTTTATCCCTTAGTGCAACAATTGCTTGGTGCAATTTCAGTAAAACATGATTTTACAACTTGTTGCAGCTTCACTTGTGTTCTGCTTTCTGAGTGACTGTTACTAGCATAGCAGGGAGCTAATAAGAAAGATTTCCCTTTTGTGCCATGGGTTATGTGCGTTCGGCATGTGGTAACATGCTGAGTCTGYGAGAGACCAAGCATCAGAACAGCAGCTCTTCCTTCTAAATCTTGACTGTCAATGACACGAGAGTAGCTGAGTCTACTGAAAGATAAGAAGGAAAGGGACCTGGGAGAAGTGGAGATGGAGCAAATTAGACATAATGCTCGTGTAATTTCTCATAAGGTRTTTAATGCTCTGTCTGGAGTGGGGAGTATATTTGGGTTCAGTGGCATGCTGAAAAAACAGGTGGAGACTGCTTCTCTCTGCTCTTCGGTGGCAGCTGATACTGCAGAAAGGTACTGAACTAGTTGTGTTCATGTGAGTTACAGGCTCCTAGTTATATGGATTTATTTTCAGTTTCACACTGAGCTACCACTTCCACAAGTAACAAGGCAGAAGTCTCAGGAGATGTGCTTAGACATTTCTTCTAATAGGATTGGGAAGCTGGGTTTTCTGTTGTTCCAACTTGTTCTGCTGCATGAAGTYATTCTGTGTTTTGCCTTATCCTTTAGAGTAGCAGTCCTTATACTTCAAAAAGTCTACAAAGTCTAAGTATGAACTTCATCTGGAGATGTTATCTGTATTGCCTGTGGGCAGAAACTCAAATGAGAACAAAACAGTTGCTCATGGATGATGCTTCTAACTCGTAGTTAATAGGGAATGAGTTCTGAGGATTTGTCTTTCCTGTCCTTAAGCTAAATGATAGTGATCTGTTGTGTAGAGCACTCGTGGTGATTCAAAAGAGGGGGATCTTCTCTAAAATAAATTGATTTAATTATAAATGGAGATTTTTTTTTTTCTGCTGTAAAATGTGGTTTCAATGAAGTTGAGGCCTTAGAGGCCAATCCTTGCAACATGTGTTACCAGATACCAGCCTGAAGAGTTAGTGTTTAGTACTAGACTCAGTTCATTTTGAAGAACCTCTGTGACAAAAACCCATGTATACTGTAATTGACTATTACATTTGGATGTCTGTTTTTACTCTTTTGTGCAGTGTCTCTGATTTAACACTTCTAGACAAAAATAARTCTGATAATAAGTCCTGGAAACTGTTGTTTCAATTGTATAAATATGTCAGGAATTAATTGCTTGTTTTATATAAATTTTTGTATATCAATTAACTTGTGTTAACTACTTTAAAGGCTCTTTTGATATGTTTTTATTCATATTCCAAACTTTGAACCCTCAGTTTGTTTCAGGACTGAGCCCTCTCTTGGCTTTAGTGTACACCTTWGATTTGTTTTCCTTTGCAATCTTCAATACGTTGCTTGCTTGTTGAGTTGYTGATGCCTAAAATAATAGCCCTTGAATGATTTAACAGTTGTRCTAACCCAGGGGATTAAAACTTCATCTGGGGTAGTATTGAACTTCTGTATCAGCCTGAAGGGAATGCAGCCCTGAAAATGAGCTAATACAGCTTCTCTTCAGATCTGTGACACATCACATGAGATGACTCATCTTTCTGTCCTTCATTCTATGTTGTTATCTTGAAGGACCTATGTGTCCTTTTCCCATATTGATGATGGGAGGGTTACTTGCAGAACGATCTTACTTTTAGCATCTTCTGTATTCAGGGAAGGAATTTAGACAGCCTTAGTCACTAGAGCAAGCTTGAAGTTAAGGTATGTAGTTCATATTTTCGAAAACTGCAAAATAATACATCACTTTGAGAGTGGTATTTTGCTTTGTAGAAACTTAGACTAAGCTTTAGAGCTCTGAATTTTATTTCTTAACTRTTTCGTAGAGTGAATACCTGATATGTTAATTGATATGTTTGCTGCTTGAAGAGCAAGTGGAAACCTCAGATGTTGAAATCTAATTGCTTCTAAGCTGAAGTCTGTAAAATCGTTTAGGCATATTGTCATAGTAATGTGTGTTTCTACATACTGACCCTGGCAGGAGATATTTTGGGTTCCAGGGAATGAAATCAGATCAATTGCAACCTGCGTTCTAGTTTTTAATATTGGATGGTGTTCATATGACCCCAAAATTCTGGAGTCATTCTGCTATCTGACCTCAGTGAACTCTTTGGACTCAGTATTGGCCCAATACTGTTTAGTCCTCATAAATTATTTGGATGGGGTTGAGTAATCRTATAGTTTCCAAAATATGTCTAACTGGGAGAAGTTGATAAAGAGAACTAAGAGCCACCATACAGACWCTGAGAGATGGGAAGATTGACAACAAGAAAGACATCAGGTTTAGCAGATTTTAAAGCCTTTTCTTGCAATGGGTTAATTACAAGCAACACTTCTTCTTGGGTTTGATTGGCTGGGAAATGGTTCTGCTGAAAAGGACCTGTAAGTCCTAGTGGACAGCAAGTTGAGCATGATCCAGCAGTGTGCCTTGCAGCAGAAAGACAGTGTCCTGGGCTTGCATGGGCAAGAGCATAAATATTTTTATGGTACTTGGCAGTTCAAAAGCCACACCTGGGAATACAGTATCTAGTTTATGAAACTGGAAAACTCTAGAGGCTCTAGTGAAGACTTATGGAAATGACTACAGAGTTGCAGAGAGCAACCCATAAAGCTAAACAACCCCACACATTTCTGGGCAGTTGTCAAGTCCAGCCTGAGTTAGGGAATTTCATAAATATAATTAATAAATGGACAGTGTCTTGCTTTAGGTTCAAGACTTTAATATGTTGAAGTAGGTTTCTAAGCAGGTCAGATTGTCTTGTGTACAAAAAACTTGTGATATGACAGCATGTATGGTGACATTTTTAACACACTAGAAGTTGTGTTAAATCTATTCTCAGTATGAAATGTAAAGCTGTGCTTGGAGGAGGGAGTGGTATTTTTGTGAAAATCTAGAAAACTGCTCTTCAAACTTCCTGGAAGTATTTAAATTACTTGTAGACATGGCACGTAAGGGCATTGTTTAGTGGGGGACTTTGCAGTGTTGGGTTASTGGTTGAACTGGATGATCTTAGAGGTCTTTTTCAACCTAAACAATTGTCTGAAGTTGGCAAGTGTTCACATACCAAGAACTCTAGAAAAATTGTGTGTGTTAATTGCTGAGAGAGAAAAGAACCTTCCTGCTGACCTCTGCACCAAGAACAATATATTATCCACAATAAACAATTTACAAACTTACGGCTGCTATCTCTAAACTGCTTGGAGAAASTTCTGACCTTGGCCTTGATCTGTAAGAATCATAGGGTAACAGAGAGGAAATAAWGCCATTTTTTTCTTGTTTACCATGCCTTGAATATAGGTTTGTTTTTGTATTAGTGTGAAGCACAAGGACCTTGCATTAGAAAAATCTGGGTATATTGTTCATGTAGAAGCTGGCAAAAGACTTTGAATGGTATAGAATTTATAATAAGGAATAAATTCCAACATAATTTATGAATGTGAATAGGTATGTAAGCAGTCTTGAAATGTAACTGAGTTCAGGTGTTCATGTAATTTTTGCTGCCTTTTTACTGCAGAATAATTTTGGTTTTAGTAAATTGAATACTTTCTACCCAATTTTTATTTTAAAAGCAAGTTTATGACTGCTGGCTGCAAAGAAGTTGTGTATGCTTTGTTTCTAAAACTATTCAATATCTAGAAATTCTTGTATTGCACAAAATGTTGATTTGGATCTAAAAGGGAAGGTTAAGGTTTTTGGAAGCTATGGGATTTGAYGACAAACAAGGGCTAGTTTGATAAATCTTCATTGTACTATGCTTATATGAAGTTTTAACACGTCTGAGTGATCACGAGAAATTGAAGTACCACTGGAATCATGTGGGATGCTGGAATTTGCATAACATATTGGTTATGTTTTGCTCAAAAGGGGAAAGGAATTGGTTGCCTTAGTAAGAGTATAAAGATGGGGTCAAATAACCACCTGGTAGAGATACCTCATAGATAAAGCATGAAGCAGCCTTATCAAATGAAAATATATGGCAGAAAAATTTGAGTATGTATGTTTCTTTTTATTTTAGGCTTATGGTATGTCAGCTTTGCCTCTAAACTTGATTAAGGGAACTACCAGTGCAGCTTAYGAACGTTTAGAGAACACTGAAGATATTGAAGAAGTGGAGCAACATTTATTAAGAATTAAATCAAAGGTAAGTCCTTCACTGTTCTCATTTTCTTAATGATTTGTTTTCCTTGCTTGCTAGTTTATGGTCATGCTGTAGAGAGTCTTTGTTTCAGGAAGAATAGCAAGTCAGAAATGAATAGGTTGCAGTTATTTGAGTTATTTTGAAACAAATGTAATCACTTGTCTAGTAGTGATTACATTCTCTGTCAGTCCTGCAGCAGTAGTAATTTCTGTCTAGCTAAAAAGTATTAACAAATCAAACTCAAAACTTCTCCAGGCCTGCTCGGATGGAAAAGGTTCTTTGTAGGTACTAATCTCACTTAGTGTGCCACCGGAAGTGGCATTCAATTTATTGACTTAACTACACTGCATTGATTAACACAAGATACTTGCCACATAGAGCTCTCATGATTTAGGTTATCATCTTTATGAATAAAGAACAGCTCCAGATAATCTTGCTTCCCAGTTAACGTACCTTGCTGTTATAAATTTCCTTATGAAAAGCATGCATGTGAAAATCTGTTCTGAGTCTTAAATATCCCTAGTATGCTAAAACCTTTTGTAAACCCATGATGGCTTTGCAGCTGATGGAAATTGCTATGCCTCATGTAAGCAAGACACTTCTAACAACCTCTGAGTGCAAGCCAAAGGAGGGTAAGATTTCTTTATATATAGGTTGACAGGGGAAAATATCCCAACCTTTTTTTCAACCCATTTCAGATAATGGTTTGACCAGTGTTTTCACAGACTTGAGCGGGGAAAGTGGYATTGAGCTGCTTTGCTTCCATCCTGGCAGTCCATCTGTGCTGTTGTGTGCTCGKTTTTAGTGGATCTCAGAGATGTTGAAGCAATTCCAACAGTCATCCCTTGATACTTGGCTTACCTCTACACAGTGTGGCACCTTCAGTGTTCTAGACATTTTGTTGAATAAATTATGTTTTGGTTTTGCACAGAGTATTACAGCCACAAAGGCATTGCTTACTTAAATCAATGTGAGAAAAATGAGAAATCTGTGACAAATGGATCATTACTTACTATAGAAGACCTTGGTGGATTATGAGAATTTGCTTGCAACTGGTCGTCTTGTTTAATCCGGCTAAATAATAGGATCAAAAAGTAGCAAGTTCTTAAGTTATGTCTATATTGTAATATGATCTTTTAGTATTAACTAATTTTTCTTGGTTTATGGATTATGGTCAGGATTCTGCCTAATTCTGTACTTGAAATCTTAGCTCTTCAGTTATATTTGCATTAAGTTGTGAAGAGAGTGTTACAGAGAATACCATAAAGTAAAAAGTAGAAGTATGAAGGTATGCTACTGACATTCAATATGTAGTAGTTCTTGTACTATTATTAATCTGATAGATTGGGAGCTTGAACTGTTGTCAAAAAGTCCCTTTTAAGTTGCAGAGGTACTATATAGGGTAGGGTGAATGTATTCCTATTAAAAGTACATAGTGGTTTCCAATTTAAATGTTATGTATGCCTATAAGGTGGTCTTAGTCTTGTCACATTTTTGACAAATTTACTTAATTTTTTTGCTCTTTACTGGTATGAAGTGTTGCACTATTTGTAGAAATGGTCTTTTAAAATAAGAGAATTAATAAGGAGTTTCAAAACTTTAATAACAGTTTTAGTGCATTTTCTACTTTATAAGAACCTTTTTTTATCCAAGTATGACACTAGCATCCATGTTAAAAACAATCTTGGTTCAGCTACCTAATGCCTATTTTCTTGCTTTTGCTTAGCACATRTAAGTAAGCAAATGCAAGCATGTGCCACTTCCTTTACAGCAGAGTGTAATGGTTCCTGCTCAGTTTAAAGGCTAAAAATTAAAATGCATTCTTTAATGTAATAATCAAACAAATYACCCAGTACACTCAACAGATTATTGGGGTAATGCTGCCTCTTATTTGAGCTATGTTTCTTGCTTATTCTGAGAAACATAGCTGAGTAGCTAGTGGAATGCTGGAGAGAAAATAAATGGCAGGCTGGCTGTATAGGCTTAATCATGGAATTTAATAGGAAGTGACCTCTTAAAAACACCATGTTTAACCCTAAGCCTCCACACAAAGCACAGACCTCTTTCAGGTTAGATCAGGTTAATCAGATCATGGCTGTGCTTTTAAAGCATTTCTAACTATGGAGACTACCCACCCTCTTAATATTTTGAATGTTTTCATCATGAAAAGTGGTTTCTGTTACCTAATAGGAATTCCTCTTGTTGCAGCTTGTGGCTTTTGCTCTTCATCCTCTTGATAATCCTTGAAATTTTACATGCATGAATTATATACTACAAATTCTTTAGAGTTGTTGTAAATAATTAAAATAGCTTTTAAGTGTGTTTTCTTGATTTGGTTACTCTTTTTGTAAACAGTGCAGAGATGGTCGTCCTTTGTCATCAAGGGATAGACGGACTTTACAACAGCTAGAAGAGAARTTAAGGACACTTCGAAGGAGAGAGAGGCATCTGGAATCTATTGAGAAAAGCTGGTGGACAAAGTTCTGTGAAGCTATTCGACCTCTAAAGGTGAAATTYCTTTTCACTTTTTGATACTTAAATGGAAATTCCTACTTTCTTTCTCCCACATAAATCACAGRTCAAGTTTATCAATTATCACCCTGTATATCAGCTGCTTTTTTTAAAATTTACTCCAGTACTATACAATGATAGCCCCTTAGTGAACTCTGAGCTGTTGGAAAACCTTTTAATTTGCCTCAACTCTGATTAAGACTAAAAATGAACAAATCCTAGCTGATCTACTTTAGTGCTACTGCCATAGAAAATCTGAATATCGTACTTTTTTATCAAACATATGAAAATGAGAAGAGAAGAAAGAATTCTATAGCTGTCAGTTAGCTTAGGTTAATCTGAATTACATGTATCCAGCAGAAGTGAGAGATACTTTGATAATATATGCATTTGGAACAAGCATCTTGCCAAGGAATTACTTGATAAATAGTAAGCTAGCTGAAGAGAAGCCATGATACTTAACCAATGCAAAGGAGATGGTTACTGGGGCAAAGCTTTTATCTTCGTCTCTTTGATCTTAAGACTTTGATTTTTATTAGATACCTGGTTTTGAAAATTAGTACTTTTATGAMCAGTATTGCCATATAAAGTATTTCTTGCCAACTAGATGTAGGAAAATGTTTTAGCATTACTTTCAACTGTAGGCTGCTTTTGGGTAGCTGGGGAGAGTGGGGTGGGCTATAAACAAATTTGTCATTGCTGCTATTAATGCTGGGACTGATGGAGATGGGCTGAAACTGCAGCTGAAAAAAAACTTTCAGTGTGGAATTCTTAGTGGAGTTACCTTGCTATGATACATTACTGATAAAAACTTACCTCTTTCATTGAAAGGACAAATATCTGTAACTATTCACGTTAAGAGTTTGGAGGCYTCCTTTTGATTTAAGAAATACCTAGAGAAACTACACAAGCTGTATTAACTTTTCACATACTACTCAAATTTGAGAAATACATTGGCCATATATTTTGTTTGTAGGACTTTAYCAGTTGACTGTGTTCTCACAGGATAGGATACAATATGAGTTACTTACAGCTTATAAGCTACAGTCAGGATGGTATTGTGGTGTCTCCTTGTTTTTGTGGTTTGAAAGCTTTTTATTCTCTCACTAACTGTGACAGTTACTGTGAATTGTTGACTCATGAATCAGAGACTAAAGCAGCGTTGCAGGTGGATAATTTTTCCTGACAGATTTTCAGTTAGACTATAGTTGTGCTATGAAGCATGCCAGAGAACTTGTTTACTTTGGCTAGAGCTGTCCTGTGAAGATGGTAATGTCTATCACTTAATTATGTCTTAACTCTTGCAGAACTGTTTTACTGKTGCTCTAAAAGCACTTGAAATGCCTTTGCAAATATATGACTTGTCAATTGTTCAATTGTGACTTCACTGAAAAGGTGAATATCTGTTCAGTATCCATACTCTGTTCAATGTAGAAGTGCAGAAAGSGTCTTTGAGCTTTGCTTACTGTTCTACATTTTCACCTCCAGCGCCTTTGGTTTGGGTGTTACTTTTTAAGAATGTGTCTGATTTTCAGACTTCAAGAGAAGTTCCATTTCTTGTGAAGCAAGTACTAGATATAGAATCCTATTTCTGCTTTGTCAAGGCACCAATCTCTATCTAATTAAACCTAAGTGCATTTATATAGTAAAGTTTTTCCACATAATGCAATGAGTACAGGTTGTGCATGCTTCTAAATGCTATGTTCTTTTAACATAATGTCATCTCTTTTTTCTTAAGGTCACTTTTGACTTAGGGGTACACTTGTGTGTTACAGTAGAGCTTGTGATGTACTTGACAAAACTGTGTTTAAYAGAGTAAAAGTTTTGTGAGCACTTTTCTCAAGTATTTATCAAATATTACTGTTTTGAGTGTATTTCAGCTGTGAAGTGCTCTAAGATCATTAGCTTATTATTGAAGTCAAGGCAAGATGTCCCTTCTTGCATCAGCTGCAAACATTTTCAGTTAAATTGTTTTAAATTTTTGCTTGTAGATTGTGTGGGGAGTATTCTTCATCATTGTGGCATTGCTCTTCACTGTTTCTCTGTTCTTGTCAAAGTAAGTACATTGCAGCATTTTCCTTTACCATTTAAACTATCTAGTTTCTGTCCTAACATAAAAATTGGGTTTTTTTGCTTCAGGAGTCAGCCCCCTTCTTTTCTATGTTACATTTCTGTCAATAGAGCTGCCCTTCTCAGTAYAATAGTGCGTATTGAAATAGAGCAAAATGTGCCAAAACAGACTAAAGAAAGAAGGTGGTTCAGGCTGAAAACAGTTCTAATTCAGGAAAGAAATTGAGCATGTATGTCCAGTAAATTTAATTCAGATTACAGAAGTATTCTGAGTGCTTGAATGAGTCTTAATCTTGTAGGCACTTCTTTGACTGGATAACAGATGCTTAAATTCTTGCAGTAAAAGACATGTGTAATCYATTTTGATGTGCATTACATTGGAATGGTTTCATGGCATTGAAAACAACATAGCCAGCTGCAAATGTGGTGGATTTGAATGAGGACTGACACCAACCAGCGGTCTCAAATGCTGGCCTTTTTAATCTTTCAGACTGGTAAAATAAGCTTTATGACCCAAACTAGGGAGAAGCAAAAATGCTGAGAACATGGAGCAATCAATATATCTTTCATAGACAAGTGCAGTGAGTGTAGTAAATCAAAGCATGTGTCTATAAAAATGTTAGACAGCTGTCMCTCTTTGGGATTAGTTCAGTTTGTTGTGGTTTTTTTTTTTTTTTCTTTGGAGCTGCCTTTTTTAATTAAACTAAAGACAAAGCTCTGGGAGAACCACAGTACTTACCCAGTTTTTTTYAATTGCTGCAGTTTGGACAAAGCTCTGCATTCAGCTGGCTTCGACTCAGGATTTATAATTCTAGGAACTAATCTGACCAATCCATTGAATATGCTGTTACCAGTGCTTCAAAGAGTAAGTAAAGAAGTGGTRATATACATATGTAAGGATGCTCCTCTGTTTTCTGTTAATCTTTTTTCCCCAAGTAATTAATTAAAACAACGTCTAAATGTGTTTTCAGTAAAAGCAAGGCAACTTCCGTACTATTTTTGGGGTATTTCTTACTGATATGAAAATCTCAGGTGGAWGGAAGCTAGTTTGGAGAAGGAAGAGGGTACTTGAAACTGATTTTGATGTGATGAGAGTATAGTGGCAATGGAGAATGACAGCACTTGTTACTATGCACAGTATAAAATGAACTTTGTCCCATGTTTTACTTACATTCTAGTTGGTGTACTGGGTAGTTCAACCCTTTCCAGTGAAGTAAATGCAGTTGTTAACTTTTTAGTATGTTATGCATAAAAAATATGCTACACAAGGCCGTTACGTATGTTAGGGTAAGGCATTAGTCTTGGAAGCAAACCCAACATAGAAACAAATATGAGTTAACTTCAGTAGAGTTGGAAGGCAGCAAGTCCATGTACAAATCTGAGTCTGTCATGAGTGAACTGACAGAAAGAAAGGCCTTAATATTAAGGTAGTGCTTTATTCCTTCCCAGTTGAGTTATTCCTATATTCTTGGTATAATGGGTCAGTACAATGCATTGCTTCCCCATGGTTTTTAAAGCTATTTAACACCTGAGGTTGTAGTTTACTGAGAAAAGTAGTCTTCAGCAGCAGTATTCTCAARCTTTATTAATGTAAATATAAAAATYAAGTTTTGTATGCAAATGTGATCAGAAAAATAGTCAAAAATAGGTGTCTGTGTAGTCCTAAAATAAAAGTTGCCACTGTGGACTTGTCATCCTGTGGGCATATTTAATATAATTAAGTATTTCTTGATCTAAAAATGCATAACACTTCAAAATGAAGGTATGTCTTAAAGCRCTGAGCATTTTTATTAATTTTCCAAACTAAACTCTATTAGCAGCATACTATGTAAAACTTTTAAATAGGACTCTTACTGCCTCAGATATAATCTATAGAAATAGACACTGCTTATTTAGCCTTAAGTGGTAGAAGGGCTTGKTTTTTTGTCTTTTTAACTGCTTGTGTTCTTGTTTTAGGTTTTCCCACTTGATTATATTCTTATCACAACTATCGTTATGTACTTTATCTTCACTTCAATGGCAGGAATTCGAAATATGGGCATATGGTTCTTCTGGATAAGGGTAAATACAACTCAAGAGTTTAGTTTCCAATACTCAGATGTCTTAACAAATATGTGCTGTTGAATATATTTAATTTTTTTGTATTGCTTTATAAATGTGAGATGTTGCCAATAGCATTGTCCGTGTGCATAACGAGTGTTAACAGCCTATTGTACAATTTGCACTGTTTTTGGAGGGTGTTTTATTTTGCCAAATCATCCGACCAAAACTGTTGTTTTAATTTGAGCAATAGAGTCAGCTGACTCCACGTGTTTGATCACTGTTCCATTGGCGTCTAACTTTTCTAAGTTAAAGCCATATGATCAGTGTATTTGAAGTATTGGTCAACTTTATGGTCAAAATCCRTAGTGTGGTATACAGTCAGAAGCTGGTGAATTGCCATCTGTGTGMCAAGCATATTTAGCTGCATAAGAGAGAAAACAATGCAGTGGTGCTGGGGCTATCTAAATATTATGCAAATAATATTACTGTATTTGAACAAGCAGCTTTGTGTGCAATAGCATGACATTCATGCTTCTGATACTTGGTTAAATATTTCCCTGCTGATGTGCCTACTTACTCTTAATAATTGTCACCTCTTCATTTGGGGACACTCCAGTCTGATGTGAACAGTGACCATCAGTCTTTGCAAYGAGTTGTGAGATTAGTTGATGRTTTTGGTGCTGTCATTTCCCCCTTRGTTGCCTTCTTTACCCTAACATAGTACTCAGRTTGAGCCCTTGGGAATTACAGAGTGGTGTCTATAGGGCAAYGAGKTGGGATCATATTGTTCCCTGCAGWACAAATTTCCACAGAGCCTGGGGATGCTCTCTCATAACTCMATTCGCTGTKTCTAGATCTCATTGGGGGGTWGAGTGATAGATGACACCCCACTTTGACCAAAGGACACAACATTCTTCAGTAAACCAGTGCACAGTTTGTTACAGTTGACAGGCAATTTAAATCTTGCTGCTAAATGCTAATGTATAAATGTTTTGGGCCATTAATACAAAACAGCACTTAATTTTGTTAAATAGCTGTGTTTTGAAATTTAGGTAAATACACCTGAAAACCTGCTTTGAATCATTGGAATTAAGTTGGCAGAGGATAATTTTAGCAACCTCCCACTTCTRGCAGTACAATTAAACCTTATTTGAGTTAGAGGTTTTTAAGTGCCTTCAGAAAAAGAGATTTCATTGTGCCAATATTTGTTTTTTTGATTTTAGCTTTATAAAATCAGAAGAGGAAAAACTCGACCTCAAGCACTCTTATTTCTCTGTATGATACTTCTGTTGATAGTTCTTCATACAAGTTACATGATTTACAGTCTTGCCCCACAGTATGTCATGTATGGAAGCCAGAAATACCTGGTACAGGTGAGATGAAATTTTTTTGTGTTAAAATTTTTTTGTGTGTGTTAAAAATGTACTGTTTACAGAAACTTTTAAAGTCAGACACATTTTCAGTTTTTGAAGAGACTTTGATAGCCAGTTTCTAAAATACTGAGAGGTCTCTTGGTAACAGACAAGCCCAAAACCGATTGTACTGTAGATCACACAACTTAATTCCTAGGTCATCTCAAGACCGTATGAAACTGAGTTTTGCTTTACTTCTTCTGGTAAGACAGTTGATATCTTCCACTAGATTTTATACTGGTCTGCTTAGGCTGCTGAGTGACTGCAGTGAGAATTATTTTTCATGTATAATGCTGTATACAGAATGAAATCAATAATGTTCCACAGTTTATCATTTTTATGTGCATATTTATGAGGAATGACAAAGATAACTTGGTACAGTAGAAAATRATAATCTGAGTGGAGCTAAGTGTGGTTTGATTAATCWTACTTCAAGCCCTTTGGATTGTCCAACTTCATGAAACTCCATGCAGTTCTTKCAYTGTRAARTCTTCTACAGAATTAGGCAGTTAAAATTTAGTCTCTGCCTYTTTAATTGCACTTTTGTGTATTTCAAGGTTTTGGTTTATTAAGTCTTTCATCTTCTGTACCTGAAGAACTAAATTACTRTATTTCATCTTAGTTTGTGTGGCAGCCTGCATATTTATGGGGAAGTTYAAAGTTACATATCATAAGCATCTTGAGAGGTTTCATGGACAGCTGTTGATTAAGGTCTGGTATCTTACAGGGGTAGACTGTTAGATCTGATCTTGCAAATGTAGACCTAACCAGGTCATGAACTGGTTGCTTATTCAGGCACAATGAAGTTAAGATCCCTTGGTACACTGTTTGATGTTCACATTTCACAAAGACAAAACAGTTGAGCTGGAGTGGTTGAAAGAAATRAGACTGAAGGGACTAGATGCCACTTTGAGCTTTTGGAATATTTCTCTTAAGTCTCTAAAAGTATAATCCTGTGTGAGGGAGCACATTTGCTTTACAAAAAGAACCAAACAAAACATGTGCTGACTTCCTTCAACTGCAAGTATTTAGTAAATTTCATAACTTACTACTATTAATTAATTTAAACAGTGGTTACAGAGTAGTTCGGGCAAAAGGATTTCAAGGAGAACTTGAAATTAGAGTAGTGTTAAATATGCTAGAGAAGAGGAACTTGATCAACTTAAATGGGTTGATGTGGTAGGATTGTCATTGCAGGAAGTGGAGGATTCAATAACTGCTRCTTTACTGCTGTCTTTACATCTGAATTGTCTGGTAATGGGCAATTGGTCATCTTGATATCAATCCAAGCACAGTAATAGAATCACTGTAGGGAATTTGAATATTTGGTATTTAGGAAGTATAATGCATTTTATTAGATTTTATGCTAAATATTACTAACCCAAAATGAACATGCTCAGGCTTCTATAAATTGGCTCAGCTTGTCAGAATTAGGGTAGTAGCAGCATGAAACTAAAATGAAAGTCAGTTTACCTGTGTTTTCATAGAACTCCTGGCATGATTGCTTACTGTTTATGCAGCCTAGAACTTCATATAGCTCTCTRAATTAGTTGTGAGGTCAAGTCACTGCAAAAGGCAGTTTGTTGTGGAATGATTGTATGCCTCCAATTACAGAGGCACACAATTGCAGAACCAGTGTGGGTGTAAGAGGGGAAGAACAATTTTGTTAGTMTGTAAGCCTTCCAGTGCCCTGAAAAGAGAATCCTTTGTGATAAAGTTTGTAGATAGCATGGAAGATTTGAAGAGAAAAACAAATTATAAAGGCTGTAGCTAGCAGTTTATGTTGCTTTGTGAATAAAATAAAATGTATCTATATTGAGGGGGGCTGAAGGCTTGAGACTAAACAAACACTTGCATGCTAGCTGTTTATGACAAATAGTATCTGAAGATAAATGCATAATTTGTAGTAGAAAAGAGTCAAGCACAGCAGTAGGAAGGCTCTTGTCATTCTTGTAGCTATTGAAATACAATCCTGGTCAGCACTGCAAGAAGGATTAGCTGGAATGGTTGAAAAGAGCTGAGTAACTTTCAAAGGCTTGAAAAATGTTTTGGTTAACATAGTCATCCTGGGTCTTCAGTTTGTTATATCTCATTTCAAAGAGGTGTATTTAAAGTGCATAATATAACTTGAATAGAAACTGGTTTTATTGTTAAAATAACATGAGGCATAAAGAGTATGCTGGTATATTACATCTGGGCTTCTGTGGCATACTGAGTAGATACAAGGATTTCAAATAACATCCTTTAAAAGAATCTTTCAGAATGTACCAGAAACATTTTCAGTGTCTGACTAGCTTGATAATTGAATGTTTAATTTTGGTATTTTGAAATSAGGAGAGATGGAGTCTGGTAATGAAGAGAAGCAAGAGATTTTTCTGTGGGTGTAGCAGTGAAGATGTTCTTAAGTTATGACTAGGTGATCATGGATTTAGGAGTGTCCAGGAGCTGGGCAAGTGAGCTAGACGTGGCAAGCTTCCTAATGGTAACAACCCTATGCACTTTTGTCTGTCCAGGATTTCATTGTGCTCTCACACTAYAGTTGATTTCAGACTTAAACACCACTGGTAACCAACATTGTGTAAGAACCAAGCAATAAATGAGCATCATTCCAAGAAAGCTTAGTGGATGAGTGGGCCAGTAAACATGTGTATGACAGTCTGGTGGTGCATAGACTGTGTAAAAGGAGTACTTCCCCTTTGCTTTGCTCTACAGTAATTCCCAGTCTAGTGATGTGTGAAACTAAATTGTAACCACAATCTGTAGTAATGCATTGGATAGGTTTGATTCCTGTTGGAATCTTGAGCTGTTTCCTTTGGAGAYTGTTATTCTGGACAAGAGCTTTTAATTTGGAAATGCTGGTGACATTTCCTTTTAACTGAATATGTATAGAAAAGCTGAGCTTTTATGAGGCAATTAACATTAACCAGACCTGGACTACTTGCTTTAACTCTGACCACTGGTGTGTTCAAGGCAGGTGACCCCAATTCATCAGAAGTGTCTTCAGATGTGCTCTGTAGGAAACTTTTAAAAATTTCATTTGGGTATAGTGCCCTTACCAACCAAATCTTTCTGCAGGKTTTTTTTCAACTTTCATAGTTCTTCAAACACCAAGGATAGCTTGGTTTCACCTCTTGAGGCAATTTGTGGTATCTGTTAATCAGCAATGAGTCTTTTCATAACCTTTCACAAAGAAAGAGTTGTATGTGTATCCAGGCCTTCTTCTCAGCTTTCCAGCAGAAGCTTAACTTTGCCCATACTTGAGTCTTATGGCTATTTCTATTCAAGAAGGCCAAGGGTTATTTTGCCTTTGTCTGAAAAAAAAATTACTGCTTGCTGATATTTGTACCTAGGGGACCTTTAAGACTTGATTGACGAAGACAGGAATTAAAAAGCCAGTATTTGCCATAAGCAACACAGATACTTTTCCCTGGTTAAGAACAAAAACAGCAACAATCACTTTCTTCAGTCATCATATAAATAATTTGGAGGAGTGGAGCTAAGTTGCAGGACCCAGAGTGTGTTCGTTGTCAGCAGTAGGAGTCCTGAAGTGTCATCCCGTAGATGGCTAAGTGTGGAAACAGGTCTTTTTGAGTTCTTAATCCTGAACTTAAGCAGGAACTAATTATATGGGTGTAACAGGCTGTATCCTAGYCCTTCATATAGTGACTTGCTGTTTTCTGAAGTGTCCAAAATGTGTCAGTTCTTGAAGCACACATAACTGAGTTACTGTTTGTGGCTTTGTCTCATGCTTGGCCTTGATGCATCCTGCCTTCAGCCTTAGAGTAGATAGGATAGCAGAACAAAGTTTTACTCTGGCAATGCATGTACTAAAAATGTCTTAAAATATAGGAGTGATTGCAAAACTGTGGTATAAGACCTGGGAAAAAGCATAGATGTTATCAAAGAAAGCCCATAGGTCTAGCTATTGTTGTGTTTAAAAATCCTGTTAATATGTTAAAGTGAATAAAGATAAGGAAGACAATTTTTAAATGTCCATGTTGTGATTATTTCGTGCTTTTTGTGTGCCCCATGGAATTTTACAAGGTATGGTACTATCCTTTTTGAGGAAGTGCTTGCTATAACTGAGCAGTGTAAGCTGAATAGTGACAGCCAGCTGGAATACATTCTGGAGATGGACAGCTGCTAAATGTWCAATGAATCATTGAAATCTCATGTCTTCTGTTCTTACCCTGTCATTTTGCCTGCACATTCTCTTACTTTTGCTCCTGATTTCTCTGACTAAATCATGTTCTTTTTTAGATTTGTTGTTTTAAGGCAGTCTCCCCCCCTTCCATGACCTTGCATGAAACAAAATTAACTTCAYGTACAAATTTCTGCCTTTTAGGATAGACACTGACTTGTTTCTTCTGTGAAAGCTGGGTTTGCTTAATAGTGATAAACTTTCTCAATTAAGTTTTTTGAGCTTAGCTTTATGTTCCAGCATGTAATGATTGCTGGTATTATTAAAGGAACTTTTCTCAGTCTGAAGAAAAGGTGTTGACTCTGATTTCTTTAGAGGGCTTTCTGTTTAGGAAACCMTGAGTGTGCGAATAAGTACAGTAGGTGAGAGACCCTTTGAAGTGAATCAGGGTATAAAAAAATCAATGTAGTGCAAAGAATTTACATTGGACTCTGCTAAAACTATTCACTGATTGTTCGAAAATGTGGAACAAAGAGCTCCTGAAAGGGTCTATTTGCTGAAAGGATAATTTTCCAAAGATTTGGGACATTTAAGTGGGTACATTTGGTTTTCAGTAGTTCACTTAAGCATAATTGGTCCTCTTCCATTTTGGTTGTCCAGTTATGTTGGCTTCTATCATCTGGCTTTTAGAGGAGAAGTAAACTATTTATTATCATTAWCAATCCTAACTCTTCCATAGTGTCTTCATCACCAAGTTGATTTTCAAATTAATTTTATGCACAGTTAAAAGGTTGAATTTCAGAGTTTAAGTGTATTTTTCACAAGTCTTCAAAAAGAACACAAGCTATTAATTTTCTTGTGAAAGAAATCACACTTASAAATGTTCATATTTTGCCACTCACAGCTTAGTCTGCATATGCTATTCAAAAATAATACTTTTGAGCTATTTTTATAAAATTAATTTATTGGAAAATGTATTCAGTTTCAGAACTATCAGTGTCTGATTTGAAAGCACAGTGCTGGTAGACTAATGTACTAATTTTCCATATTTATAATGCAGAGTAATAAGACAATTGACGGCCAGCCAGGAAATGTGACACTTGTGTCTAAAGACTGTGATGCAGATGCACCTGAAGGTAAGATAAATTTTTTTCTTGTATTTCTGATGTGATAGGTGCATGTTCAGCTGYAATAAGCAGCTTAATCTCTCTTCTTGGCTTTCATTTGGCAAATATGAAGCTTTGATGTATGTCTAAATCAAAAACCCCAGCTTGCTTGAAGCTTATTGTATTCATTTAAAGGAATGACTATTTTTAGTAGAAACCATGGGTAACAAAGCATTCCAGTTAACTTTAAAATATTCCATTTGCTTTAATGTCTGTGTAGAAGATCTTAAAAAAAACCCCCAGCTTATGAATAGTTTAGCATTGTAAGTGTCACTTCATTGTATGTTTATCATACAAACATGCAGACAGATACTCTCTCAGTGTACTCAGGAAAACGAAGGTCTGAGCTTCTCAGTGGAATTTGAGATTCTCAGTGGAAACTTAGAGATAAGAGGATTATGTGATTTTTAATGAGATGTAAACATGGGCTCTTCCATGGGCAGCAATACCAGTGGAACTAGAAATCTTAGACTATATTTCTCTAATTCTCTTGGTTTATTATTCCGTATAATTTCCTGTATAACTTTCTCATCTRTGTTACTAAATGTCCTTTTTTTCAACTTGTTATTTGGGCAGAAGATGTATCATGGCTATTCTGGACTTAAATWGTGAGTAGCAAGCAGATGGATAATGCTGGAATCTTCCTTGACTTTCAATCTATGCAGGCCTTAACGTTGATGTTTTGGGGTTATTTTGAAAGAGAGACACAGGTAGCATTTTATTTAGTGCTTATTCCTCTATGACACTTGAGTAAAGCTGTGAATGAGTTTTAGCCTGGTGTCATTAAAAAAACAAGCTAATTGAAATCATGCTGGTTTTATTTTTTGCCATGTTATTTTACACATCCTTTCTCTCTGCATATAAACAGTTTTCTTCAGTTTGAATTGCAGAAGCCATTGCAGTACTGATAGTGCTCTTTAAGATCACAATCATGTTGATTGCTTGGGTCTCTTGTTCCAAAGAATTGATCTAAGCAAAAGATTTATGGCCTTCAGAATGGTCCAGATCTTTTCAAACCCAAGCCTTTAGTTGTTCCTACTCTCTTTCAGCTCCTCTGTACAAAGAGCAGTTGTATTGTGTGTGCATTTATATACTTATGAAAATGSTTGAAAGCGGTACTTAATTGATAAAAGAGATAAATAGTTGTCCTGTATTCTCTTCTTAATAGTATTAATAGTATTCCTGTTTTTTTTTTTTGCTTCTAGAAGTTCTTAACAGCCGCTCAGTTTTTCTCCGCTTTTGTTATTGGAAAATATAAAATGTAATTTTTGTTACTAGTGGAGATAACTGGGCCATTAGTTCTTTGTTCCTAGTCTGTCAAGCAAGTCTCTTTTGCAGGGTGGTTCCCTTGTATTTATGCTTATCTTCAAATTTAGTATGTATGTGTTAGTCTCATTCCTGGTGATTCATATTTTTCCCCTTGTTTTCCCCCAGAGTTCAAATCATTCATCTATTTTTTGATTGCTATTTTTAGACTTATGCAGTTTCAAGTGTTTCGATATTTTGACAAATATAATTGTTCTATCAAGTTTTTCTATCAAGCTGCCCTATTTTTGTGATTAGAAATAGAAATGCTGGCGAAATTTAGAAGATCAAATATGTTGGYTTTCAAAACGACATCACTTTGTCCAAGTTGTACAGATGTTTGTTTCGTGTAAACAGCTTAACTTGGCCAGGATCTGCTGAAAGCAGAATATACTCACTGGCTTTCATAAGCTTGTTAGTCTTGACCTTGGGGAGAGAAATTAAAATAGTCTGATTTCTTCAGACTTTGCTTAATTATAGAAACYGGGATTGGATTTAAATAAGCTTATTTAATTCCACCCATATTTGAATTTTTTWAATACTATTAATTCTTTACATTACTTTCTTTCATAGTGTACTTTAACCAATGGAAGTAATATACTGATGTTTAAAACTAGTCTTCTGATGTACTGAACCCAGGTTGGTCTGTATAAAGGGTGCCTTTGGTTTGTCATCRTTAACRTGTTGCTGCAGTGGCTATCTCTGTGTCATTGTCTCCTTTCTTAATAGAAAAGAGGTGGAGAAGGTGTTAATATGCTGTCCTGTGCTAACCTAGTATAAGCAGAAGATGGATGGGTATTTCTTGAATGTGAATGTCAATGTAATCAAAAGGCTTAAGTGGAGTTGTATTAGCTGTAGAAGATRCATTGAGGCCATTCAAGTGTTTTTATAAATGAAAGAAAAGTTTATTTTTAATACTGAACCTAAAAAAAATGTTGCATTAGTGAAAGCACTCTTCATTGTTTCATCCAGTCAATTTTAGAAACTGTAAATGTAATCCTTGCCTTGGAATACCTGCCATTTTTAATACTGGTAACAAAAATAATGAAAATAAGTAGATGCTACTCTTTTCTGTGCTCAGGCAGAGCATCTTGACAAATCAAATAAGTCAAACTTATTTCAAAAGTAGGAACTAAACTTCTAAATACAATCTTCTTATTTTTAAGGATATTAGACATGGGCAGAAATAGATGCAAATAACTTTAAGATAAAGGTTGGTCAAGCAGTTTGAATTGCCTTCTTTGATACTAGGATTTTATGTAAATCAGTGAACTGGAACTAAATGCAGTCACTGATTTGTTTCCTCAATTTTGTTCCATTCAAACAGAATTAATATTAACAGGTGGTTTTCCTTACACATAAAACAAGCTATGACCTTTTAGTGGCTGGGCTGACAGATAAGCTTGTAGCAACCTGCTATCTAACTRAATACTCAGATGCTGTAGATAGGATCTCTACTTGCTGTTGCTAAGTGAATTATTTATATTTTTTTTTTCTGAGATGGTAGAAGAGACCTGATCTTGTTGTGACAGCTAATACTTGAGGCTTTAAAGGGCAGTGTTTGCTTTAGATTTGTTTCAAATTGATGTTTGGCTTGATCCAAAGGACAGTTTTACTTCCTAGAGAAACACAAGGCAGTTAAAATGCAGTCTTACAAAAAACACATTCTTGAGTATTTATAGTTAGATATATAATTTGTGGGATTTTAGCATTGTTAYCTGCTTTCATTCAACAAAGCTTGTCTCTATTTACTCCTCATATGCAGGTGATGAATCTGTTTTATACTCAGTGACAAAGGCCATAATAGTGCAACTACCTGAAACAGAAGACAAAATAATAGAGCCTTAGAAGTCAAAGTACCCTTTTTTAGTTATATTTAAACATCTTGCACAAAAGGTTTGTGTTCTGGTTAACTCAAAAAGCTTTTTAAGTAGTCTTTTGTGGGCAGCAAGTGTAATATATTTGTAACAGTCAAAACAATCTTTAGTTTTCAGTGTCCAGTASAGTTGGGCAGAATTGTAATTTGATGATTGTTTTCAAGGCCTAATGACAACTGAACTGTTGGGTCCACCATTCAGTTGAACAGAAGGTAAAGCAAAGGAGTTCAACTGTGTGATTAAGACTCTTGCAGCAGGACTAATGCATTGAAAACTTGGTGTGGGTTTAGCTAAACAGGTTAATGGGATTTAATGCAAATGACTCATCTGCAAGCTTGTATGCAAGACTTTTGCCAGCCTGAACTATGAGATCTGATAAGCACTGACTCTTTCTAGGGGGGRAAAAAAGCTAGTCTTTAAGCATCACATATTTAAATACTTAACTTRCTCTGAATCCCTCTTGTGTTCTTTTCCTTTGCTGAGGAAATGCGCCTTGCTGAAAGCCTGTTACCTGCTGGGCAGTTTCTGCTGGGCCTTTTTCATAGACTTGCACTGAGTTACACGCATATTACGTGGGGAAGAAAAAATTACTTCCATTTTTAAGCCTTTGAACTGAGAAGGTTACTGTGCTAACTTGATCTGTGCCTTCTAAGGCACTCTAGTTRGGTAGTCAACAAGTTCAGGACCTCAGGCTTTATTTTCGCCTGAATACAAGCTAGATATAGACAGTACCCAAGCTGTAAAGGAGMCTCAAATGCAAATGCCAAAACAGGAATATATTCCATTTCTTCTGGAGAAATGCAGGAAATATGCAAAGGGAAGCAACAAGCAATTGCTCAGAACCCTCAATATTAGTAATTTTGTATGAAGGGTTGTATGATTATAGATTATCACTTCCAAATTATTTTAAATTAATTGGAAAAGTTACAAAAAGGCTCCACATAAAATGAGGATTTTAGTGAGGACTTTCCATTTTCCTGTTGCTTTAGTGAATAACCTTTTTAGTAATTTACCCTGAATCTTTACTTAYATCTAACACCTTTGAAATCTTCTATAACCGTAAGAACACTGTATAGGTTAACACAACGGTGCATGTCTGACCACAGAAAGCCCAGTTTGGCATTTGTAAACAGTATGAGTAGCTGAGAGTGCTGWAAATACCTTTTTGCAGTACATTTTTCACTGACACACAGTTGTAGATACATCAATTCCCACAATATTTTTTTTCCTAAAGGTAGRGGTTTTGATTAAACTAAAAATAATAGGTTATGCTGTCTGTTGCTTTCTTTCTAGAATTTTGCATCCATGCTCATCCCCATCCCTAGAGTATTGCCTTTATCACTGGTTATTCCTTTATAATAAGAATTGTTTGCTTCTAGTTACTTAAAAATAAGGTTTTCAAGGGYGACTCAGAAAATGGCTCTTGGAGAAGCTAAAATTTAATTTGGCATTTCAAAGGTGAGAAATAATATAAATGGCTTGTGTTTAAACACATGTGGCCAGTGTTTGCAATTAAACTGAATTGTATGTAGTGTTTTAAAAGATCTCTAGTTTCAACAAAAGCACTGAGAACACGTTTTTCCATCAACAGGCTGATCCAGTGGTTTATTGCTTCCCTGTAAAAACATTATCTCTTGGGGATTAAAAGGGCTTCAGATTTAGCTTTTGGCTAATGCTGTACCTTTTCACTATATGCATGGACTTGTAGCATTAGTATTTTCTTCACKCAAAGGTACTTAATAAACATTAAAATCAAGTCATCCTTTAAACTTATGAAAAATGCGATTA